TGTGTGTGTGTGTGTGTGTGTGTGTGTGTGTGTGTGGGCGTGCTTGTAAATCAGAGGTTACTGAATAGAACTACAACACAGATCTAGTTGGGGACTGGGACAAATAGCAGAAAGAGTGAAGATCAGTGTTTTCTTACCAAAGCAGAACTCTGCTTTAGGCCTCAGCTTTGTGGCATCGCTGACCTAGAGGACGACAATCCACTGTAATTGTTAGATTTTCTGTTCAACCAAACACGGTAAACACTATTATTCTATGAATAAATAATCTTATCATCTTCAGTGGTAATATTTGTGCACCTTAGAGATGTAGGTGAGCTTGAGAGAACCAACGCAGTCAGTACCAACAGGCAGGTTCTGTGGGATGAAAAAGAACAAACTATGCAAAAATAGAAAACTAATGATTTGTCATTCTAATAAGGGAAAGGCTAATGTGGCAAAAGGGCAAAGTCTGTCCTGAAAAGCAAGTCGCTGTTATGGAGTAAGTACAGTATACTTTGGCTGCATGCCATGATAGTTAATTTCAGTGTCTTGCTGTGTTTCTGAAAGTAGGGGAACCAGATTTAACATCATTAATTTTTAACCTTTTTCAATCTATAAAAGGAAAGGGACTTGCTGAATTATTTAAAATTCACCCTGCACTACATCATTTATGGATACTTCATGTAACAAGCAAACACGATGTGCAAAATACAAGAGAGGGGAGTTACACTATAACGGCTATGGACAAAGGGTCATAAAATGTTGACCCTGCAAATCCCATTGTTCAGAACATGGACAAATCAAGAGCACTACAATAATCAAATAAATAACCGAATTCAAAATACATGCCACATATTCCAAAGGAAACTGGCACATCAGAAATGTAAGTATCATGTCACCTGCATGCTAACAAAGTATAGCGTTGACGACTAATTTTTGTCCTGCCCAAACTGCAACTGAGGGTTTGAACATTCGCAAGAAGAGTTCAATCTGTGAATTCATTCAAACTAATTTACAGCTTGAAACACAGAAACACCATTAACACCGACCTACTCCTGTGCCTGTAACATGCTCTCCCCAATCCCTGTCAACTAGAATTACATAATGCAAGTTCCCCCATCCTTGTATGACTGTCTGGCAATGGAAATACCTACAATAAAGACAGAAACCTAAAGGTAGCCTGCTGTTTGCCTGAGAGCTGACTGTCAACACATCTTACATTAGCTGGAATGCGGTTGCTCATAAAGCACCAAATCAAACATTTGCCTGTGAAGTTACCTGCAGGATTTTTGTTCCCCATGAATAAAGCTAAAAGCTATGCTAAGCTAACACAGCCCTGTGTAATTACCTGAGGGTTGTCCATAAACCACACCAGGCTTCCCTGCTGTGTGTCCAGTATGAAGTAGCGCCGCAGGAACTTGCCGCTGCTTTCATTTTCCTCGATGTCCAGGAAGCCACAGATGCGGTTCTGTCGGTCCACGTAAGGCATCTCGCTGCCGGGACATTCCCTGGCCTGCTGGGGCCAGGAGTGGAGAGGAGCAAGGGCAAGTGGAACTGGGAAGAATTCCTGAAGGACAGAGAGAAAGGAGTGATGGTTCAAGAGGGTGGGGGGGGGGGGGTTAAACAAGGATTTTCGGTCGTCTTTGTGGTGAGCCTTGCAACTGTGTCCCGCTCCTTCTTTCTTTTTCTTTCTGTATCTACTGTATCTGTGCTCTCTCTGCCACCTGGAGCTCACTAGGCTACAGCCTGCATGGGGATCATGTGACAAACCACAACCCCGCCTTTATTCTTTTACATCAGCCTCGCCCACTCTCTCTTGCTCCCTTTATCGTTGGCTCTCTCTGAGCCCCTCTTTTTTTCTGTAACACATGCTATCCTCTGTTACTCTCTCCTCTATCTCCTCCACCCACCCTGGCTTGTCCTCTTTCTCTCCTTCTCCCTCACTTTCTGTGCCATCTCCTCCCAACTGCTCTCTCATCCGATTTGGCAAGCCTCTGGCCGGCCCCTTGCATCCCCTCCCTCCTGCCACAGCTGAGCACCCACTGGAGCATGGTCAAAAAAAGCCACTTAGCTCAGCCATGTTGAACACAGCGAAACACACACAAACACCCTCAGGATTTGTGCGGTAGAAAATAAGCAATATTTAACCTGCTGATGTGAGACACGTACCTAAAACCTACTCCTCACACAAACCTTTTTTCTTTAACATGTGCAAATTCACGCATCTCAAAGTCAAATGCAGTGTCGGTACGTGCAGCATTACTGTGGGAATATTGTCACATTGGCCTGTTTAAGCCGCTGTCTTTTTGGACTGGGCCTAAAATATGTGAGTGAGTTGAGTCTGTGGAAAGCAAAGATAAAGAAGTTCTTTCTCCATGATGTTATGAGCACTGTGTGGGTGGATGGGCGCAAAGCAGGGACAAAAGGCCTGGTTGTTGTGTGTGGACTCTGGGCTGGGAGCATCTCAACTAGTCCCTGCATCAATCCGAGTCATCCAATTTGACACATAGGCACGAGAAAGCAGCAACGCTGTCAGAGGCGAATGTCTCGACACAATACAAACACTGATTGTCATGCGGGAGAGAGAGACGTCTTTGTCAAGTTTAGAGACCCCGTAAATGAGGTGCTCTGCACATGTTCATCTGCATGCATGACTGTGCATTTCAGTAGTGCAGATTAGATGTTACAGATGGTGCAAGACAAAATCCCTAGAGGGTGAACAGCAGACCACATACACTAAATAGGCTTGAAGTGATTGACCGACAAAGTCATTTCACCCAGCTCACTGTTTCATGGCAGCCTGTGTCATTACTGTTCTGGTTCACCGCCCCCTCTCTTACAGTCTCATTTTTAGCCACAATAGACTACAGAAAAATATCCTCTAAAACTCCTGCTAAACACCAACTAACAGCAGACATGGTGATTAAATGAATTCATGATGAGTAAAATCTAGTTCTTCTCCTGACATCTGCAGAAATTAACCTGAAGAAAATGTGTTATGAGTGTCTCAGGTGATAAGCTCAAAAAGACTGTGGGTAAAGTTTTAGCAGTTAAAGAAAATAATTGCAACAATAACTGTCAGTTGACTGGTGGCCACTGGGAAAGTGAGCCGTCTACAGACATCCAACTGAACAAACATTTAGGTAAGCAGCCAGGCTATGTTACATTGTCAGGTGGCTATAGAGAGCATGAGAAAAATTTCAAATCCTCTCACTGCGAACCTTGTTTACTTGTTATGTGTTATTTAGGAGTGAGATCACTCTCGAACATGTGACTGATTATTTCAGGCCATAACTTTCACTTCATCAGTGAGAATATTTGTTTTGCTTTTCTTCTTCTGTGAAAAAAACCACAGCTCTGACTCTGAAGAAGGTCAGATAAGGCTGCATGATATAAGTTGACTTCTTTCTAGGGCAAACATTCCCCCCTGGTAAACTCACTCTTTACATACGCTGGAAGGATTTGTCCACCATCACATGGCAACCAACTGGTCACACAGGACAAGTCATAAAACAACAGTAAGCACCAGCTGGATATCCCAGTAGTGGATTTTTATTTTCCTTTCATGATCTTAGACCGCTGCCATACATTCCGAACTAACCAAACAACTGTGAACTGTAGAGCAGAAATCTTTTGTTGCTTTAATAACCACTGACCTGCTCCCACCACATAGAAAATACACAGCAGATCACTAAACTAAGGTGTTGATGGCAGAGTCAGATAAACTCCTAGAGGACAAATGTTTTTGTTACTGGACCCCTATTGATCCGCACTACACAAGACAATGTCAACCACAAACCAACCAGTAATAGAAAGTTAATCAAATTTCTGATCATTATTTTATGATATTTTAATATTTGCTGATCTGACGTTTCCATTACAGTAAACTTACTCACCATCTTTGTGTTAAACCTGGAGCTTGTACAGCAGACTTTTTTTGTCCCCGAGGTGATCAACTCTTTTCCCTGCATAATGTACATTTGTTTTTTGTTTACTAGAGGAACAAGGAGGTGATAAAGGGGAAGGGCTTGGACTGAATGAGCTCTTCACAGGTCAAAGGTGGGACAGGTCATTCCAGTTCAGCTGAAAAGAGTAATTTCAGGTCAGAGTCTGGCTCTGAATGAAACACACGCCTGACAGGCAGGGTCCTGTTTACCACAGCAACATGCTGTGTGGGGTTTTGAATTTCCACAGCAGAACAACGTGAAGATGGAAACCCTTTGTCCTGAGGCACTGAAACAAACCACTTGCTCCCCCAGCTTCCAAAGACACTAAACAACAATATTTCACATTCTCCTCACAACATTTAGCGTTAGCAGCAACTGTGGCTCCGTGGCCTGAAGTTAACTGTGGGGGGCATGGCTCGGGTTAGCCTAGCGGTTAGCAGCTAATGCTACCTCACACATTACATTACATGAATTCACCAAACGCTAAAAAAAAAAAAAAAAACCCGCTTTAAGTTGAGTGTATGTTTGCTAAGCTAACCGTGTCTGCTGCGTGGCTGAGTTAAGTTTCCTCATACAACGACGCACGTTATCCGAGCTAACGTTAGCGCCTGGTCTCACTCCGAAGCGCAACGTTTGACAACTTGAAGTGTCCGAAACAACGCGGCAACAGCGTTAACTAGTGCGGGTCAACGTCCCCGGAGCATCTTACCGGAGTGCCCCGGTCTGTGGCTGCAGCACTGACGGTCCGGCGGTGTCGGTGGTGTCCTCTGAGTCTCAGCCCATCTCTCCCCATGGAGCAGGACGACTGGCTTTTTCACCGAGCTGGTTCAGGGTGAAGACACGCCCTCTTCCGTATATAGACACGTACGTGAACGCCGCGGTGGACGCTGGGGTCGCACGGCTACCTCGCCGCCATATTGGAATGGGGTGTACCATCACGAGGAAACGGGGGTGTGGTTCCAATTAAAAACTAAGGATAAAAGGCCAAAAAAACCCTTTATATGGTCCAACCAATTTAAATCATTTGTTTCTATGTTAAAGTGTTTATTTATTACAATATTTTTTATGTTTGGTTATATCTTTAGTTGGGCCATTTTTATGTTACATGTCCAAAACAACAAAAATAATCACAATAACAATCAATATATTTGTAGAGCACTTATGCAAACAAGGTTTATGGCAAAAAAGAAATGAATAGCAATAAAAGGTATTCAATTCAATATGATTTTAGGCTCCAAACTATAACATGGTAGGGTCCAGAGTCTTGACTTTTTATGGTCTCGACTCAAGACCTCATAATTTATAGAGAAACCCAACAATTCAATGAGCAGGACTTTGGCAACTGTGGACAGAAAAAACTCCTTCATTAACTGGAAGAAAACTTTATAGAACCAGACTCAATGTGGGCAACATTTCTTTACCAAAAAACTTAATGAAAATAAATGAGGGCTTTTGTTAGCAAATGAAAAAGAGCAGAAGAGGAAGATTCATGTGTATCATGCTAGAGTAAAGAAGTACTCAGACTACATCTGCAGAAGAGTCCATACAAACAGCAGCTGGGTTCATTTTATAAGGTGATCACAGGGCTCAGTGTCCTACGAACGAAGTACTAAGTTTGGATTTGGATACCAAACCGCTGCTGCTCCATTCACACTTGAACTAATGTTTTCAAACACTGGTGCTCGTATAGATCAGAGTGAGAGGTCCTGTTTGTTTTGTTTCTTCATTAAATGTAAATATAGATGGAAGTTAGAACGGATAATCCAGAGAGGGGATTTAGCGACACCTAACGTTTCAAGGTTGCAGCTACATGAGTCTGTTTAAGGTCCTTGATGATTATGGCAGTTTTTTATTTGCTTATGTAAACAATAAGCACATAAGAAATGGTGATCAATTAAACAACTGTTTTATCA